GCCTACAATGCCATCATAGTTAATTTTAATACTATGTTTTGATTGATTGACACGGTCATTGGACATTGCTACAATTCAATACTTAATAGGCGATGAATAATATTTTGAGCAATTAACTCTCACTGTTGGCACTGGCGACTCGAGCTTTGTTTATTTGGTTAGTATGCCATTCACTATTCAGCACACATAGATCATGGCACAAAAGGGATATTATGATGATGACACTAGAGCTGTTGTTAGTATGCTTGCACGTATATCAGTAGACAGATTATCTGCAGTAAATATTCATTTCAAGATAAAAACAATAGAACAATTTGCGTTGTAGCAGTTAGAAACCGTACCAGAGAGGACCATTCTTGTATCATGAAAATTGTGACCTGAGATTCCGAGAGGATATAGGAAATTATGGATTCCTTCGCCTTGTTATAACTTTCCAAAAAAGTCCAAATGAACCGACATTACGATCTGCCAACAGAAATTGAGGATCAATCAATTGTTGTTTTTTTTTAATTTCAAGTGTGCACTTACTCGCTACGCGTAGCGCTGTGTTTCTCGGCACAACGTTAATTAACTAAGCTTAAGTGACGTAAAAATTGAAGCGCCAAGTAAACGTTTATGACGCTGATGCTATTGGGAATTATAATAACCATTATTTCTTCACATCATATTAATCATAATTAGTTCAATGAATTTTAGTATCAAAATGTTGTTTCATTATACCCCAGGTCTTAAAAATAAAGACTTCATATAAATGGATATCAAAATGGAGTATATAGACTACAGAATGCAAAATCAAGATTTCATTTTATCGATTACAAAGTTATTTAACCAATAGTAAGAGATGACAAGCCAAATCATATTACCATATTAAGTAACGATGTGTGTAAGAAGTAGGCATAGTTTATGCGCGGTATGTAAAGCATGCGATTATCATAATTGGATAAGCAAACAAAAATTCTTCGCTGTGATTGGTCAGATATCAAAAATTGACTAAAAATAGACTTAAAACTCGCTTTTCCCGCCATGTTTTGGGATACTACTGGTTCCAGTCCTTTTTCCATTGTTTCTGCCAAATATGGATTGATTATGAAATGGGGAACTGGGATTTCGTGAAGACGTTGCTAGTGTGATCGAATGGACGCCATCTTGAAAGTTTTCAAACTTGAATTTAGCCGACTATTGCCTTGACTTTCGAGATCTTTTGACACAAATAACGATAAGTATTATCTTTGTTTTTATGAAAATTAAGTTTGGTGTTTTCTTGGGGTACATTTTATGCCTTGAAAAGCTTCGTGCTTTTGCGGTCTCCACGATGAATGGGGAACTGAGTGACCGGCCTTGCTCCAAGTCAAGGCAACTTCACATTGCAACGAAGACTTAGCGAGAATTCGGTGGAATCGATGCTGCTGTAAAACATCTTAGTAGCTGAGAAAAGTATGTATTTTCTGTCGGCAAAGAATTTCGTTGGAACTATTACGCAAAGCAAGACAATAAAATGATATTACACAATTTTGCTGATACGACGTGTTATTATTGGTTCTTGTTCCAGTTATTAAACGGTCCTTCTTTTCGAATGCAGTTTTCTATGGGTCTCAACTGTAATGAAGGACATGAATGAAGGATATGTAAGCTCAACTGCATAAGCTTGAAGGGAACTCTAGCACTTTGTTTGTAGCTCATGAAAGAAAAGAGTTCAAAGTTCAATCTTCCGTAATTAAAGTTATGATTCAGGTACTCTACCTGATGACTGGCGCATCGCAATGGTCATCCCCATCCACAAAAAATCTAACAAGTACAATCCTGAGAACTATCGTCCAATATCACTGACCTGCCTCTGCTGCAAGGCTATGGAACATGTTATTTTAAGCCATTTGAACAATTTCACCTCAGAAAATAACATTCTTTCTGATCTTCAACATGGCTTTCGTGCAGGCCTTTCCTGTGAGTCTCAACTCATAATCACAGTGCATGTCGCTCGGTATAATGTATATACATAACAAAACATTTTAAGCCGTTAACTTTAACGGCCGATTTTGGTCGCTCGGTATAATGTATATACATAACAAAACATTTTAAGCCGTTAACTTTAACGGCCGATTTTGGTCGCTCGGTATAATGTATATAGTATTATTATAATATAATCATCTTTACCTAACAAGTTAATGGCTTAAAATGTTTTGTTATATATATCAAGATAATCACTTATTTAGCCATTATATATAGTCCCATAATACGGGACTATATATAATGGCTAAATAAGTGATTATCTTGATATACATAACAAAACATTTTAAGCCATTAACTTGTTAGGTAAATATATTATAATAATACTATATACATTATACCGAGCGACCAAAATCGGCCGTTAAAGTTAACGGCTTAAAATGTTTTGTTATGTATATACTTTATACCGAGCGTCCAAAATCGGCCGTTAAAGTTAACGGCTTAAAATGTTTTGATAGGTATATGAAAAGACTAAAATCGGCCGTTAAACTTAACGGCTTAAAATGTTTTGTTATGTATAGAAAAAGACTAAAATCGGCCGTTAAGTTAACGGCTTAAAATGTTTTGATAGGTATATGAAAAGACTAAAATCGGCCGTTAAACTTAACGGCTTTTGTAGGATCAATGTCATATTGCAAAATTAAATACAAACTTGTATTCTCTATGACAATGTTTTTGCAATTAGGTATATATTGATAGACAATTATTTAATAATAGTTATGATTTATCGTAAACACCGACGAATAGTGCTCAATACACATTTGTGTAGAGCGGTATAGACTTATTAAAGTATTCAGTAGACGACACACATATTCGCTGCAACTCTGAGTTTCGTGCTCACGCACTCATCAGGCAGATTTAATCTAGACTATTATTTAGTCATTTATAGTTATAGTTGTTGGAGACAACAATAAGAAAATTAAGCCTCTTATGGATAGTTTACAAAGGCGAAATAAAGTTTCGAAGTGTCTACATGCATGCCCAGCTTCCAGGTAAATACTAGTAAAAGCCCGCGTATAAGAACAAAAAAGTGGATTAAGAACACCCAGTCCTCTTTTTAGGAAATAAAGTACCATATATATAAGAATACATTCACCCTGAAAAATGAAAGTTGTTCTTATAGGGAAAATATCAAAGATCAACACTACTTTTAATTGCACACATAATAGTTCCACCCCAATTATATATAACAAAATATTAAACAAAATAAAATATGTACAGTTATGCTGACTTCATTTGTTGGCTGCCTAGTATGTTCCTTATTTTAAGAAACTTTTAAAAACACTTACAGGCTGATTTCAGGGACCGCGGAGCGTGAATTTGTTTGGGGGGCTAGCGGCGAGGAGGTACTAGGAGGGGTTCGTAAATTTTTGAAATCTTGGAAAACAATGGAATACTCACGGCCATATAGACACAGCCTAAAAAGTGTGATTTGTAATTCATATGATAAACTTACTTAAGATTTAAGTATTTTATTACTAAGTTTTGTACTTTATTATCTTACCTTGAAGTCTAAAGCGGAATAGAAACCGTCCATTTGCTTGAAGTTTATCTATAAGGCCGTGAAAGCTACATTTCAAGACATTTTAGCAGAGACGCCATGTTGACACGTACTCGAAGCGAAAACCCAGTCAAAACTTATTGCAATCGGTACAATTCTACGCCAAACAATATAATTTTTCCAATTTTTTCTCCTCTCGAATCCAGGTTTTTAACGTACTGCGATGGGTCAGTTGTTTTCGGCAAATATCAATTCAATCCACAGCATATAACACAGGAAACCCATCATGGTGAAACTGATTTATTTACGTACCGATCGCAAAAATTAAAAGAATTAATAGTTAAAACCAACCTTTATTCAGAAAATATTTCATTCTTTCATTTTTAAGATAAAATTCTATTTCTATAACGATAAATATTTTAGTGACATTTAAAAGCTATTTTATAAAGATTTTCAATTTCTCTTTGCGTTTTAGCTTTGATTTTTCGGATAGTGACAGGCAGCCTACTCCACTGGGTCGAGTTTTGCTGTGAAAATTCCTCCCGTCGAGGGGTTATGTAGTCTCCTCTCGCAGCCGTTAGGACGTTCGTTCCCAGGTCACTCCCCCCTAACGGCTGCTTCAACTGGACCAACATTCCGTTCTCGGGGATTGACCAATCAGAGCGTTAACTTCCAAAATCTAGAAGGCTCATTAGTATTCATGGCAGATTCTTAGATATTTCTGATTTAAATGAAGAAAAAAGAAAGACTTCTTAGATCTACTAACGAATTATGGTAAATCTCTGATCTATCAACGGCTTTTGCTTCGTGTTTGAGTCTTCACGCTGTAAACTAAATTGAGTCGCATCGTCCTTGTTTTAATATCGACGATAGTCAACAAAATGTGAGATCTTTAGGCCTAGATTGCGAAAGAGACAAACGACTAGAAGATGAAGAAGTGAAGAGCGAGATAGCTACGGAGAAATCTGCAAGCTTTGGCCGCCGAAGGTCAATTCGTGATCAGTTGTAGTATCTTCATTAGTGATCTTCATTTTTTTTAATTCTAATCCTAGATTTTACTTTAGGAATATAAAACAGATTTCCGTGTTTGATACTCTGATCAAACACGCAGGATGTAGAGAGAACACGAGAGAAGCGTGGGAAACCTTGTTTTATCTATTAAAAAATATTAATTGACAATGAAAATACAATCCACAATGCAAGTACGATGGCGCGATCCTTACTTAATCCAAGTCAACATATATGTTCATTTCCAAAATCCGCCTTAAATCTATCGTGATGTCATTACCAGTTATGAATATTCCAAACCGTGCGCTGCATTTTCCTGATAATTATTTTGCCGACAGTTATGGGATTGTAGCATCATAAATAAAAATCTATGTGGGAGCGCCAGAAACAGCATGATTGGTTGGCTTTTGATTAAAAACGATGTGGTGCTATGATCTATTTTCTGTCAAAGCACATAAACTGGAAAAACAGGAATACGATGATAATCAACCTCATAGAATCCATAGGATTTGACTTGCAGAAGCTCAGTGACAAATATAATTTAGCCTTACAAATTGTCATTCAAGCTTAATATCGATCGGCGAAAACGACGAATGAAGAAAAGATTTATTCAAAGAAATACGTCAGGCAATACCGAACCTTTCACTGCAGCTGATTGTAATATCACAAAAGCAATGTACGTAGGAGTCTTAACGTATTTTGAGAAATTATCATGATTGTCTAGTAACGCTGACTTGCGCACTTTAATGGGAAAAAACCTCAGAGGACACAGTTAATAAGAGTTACAAGTACCAGACGTTGATGAAGACTGTCTTTTAGATTTTAAAAGGTAAGACAATTTGATAAAGCAAAGACGATTCGGCAATTGTTATTGTATTTTTTGCAGTATAAAGTTCAGTGTAAAGAACTCGTCTTTCATTTATATTTTTTTCAAATTTCGTTTATGACTTTGAAAAAATAAAATTTCATTTTAGACAACAAAGTGGCAGTTGTCTCTATTATAAGCAGAACGGATTCGTTTGAGCACTTCATCGAAAACATATATTGCCAAACTTGAACCTTTCTGATAATGTGGAGTGAGTGATGCGAAGCTTACATAGTCATTCGTTTAGCGGTGCTCTTTGCCGAGATAAATCCTTTGAAAAATTTGAACTTTTGAGCGAAAAAATGGAAGAAAATGGACGACAGAATCCCTAGCCCAATGTTAAGCGTCAGTACGCAAGCTGCTGAAGCATTCTGAAAATCGATCCAACACACCCATGGCAAGCACAAATGCTACCGCCTGAAAAATCGAATGCAAAAATCAAAACTTTTYTTGCGCCCTTTGGGTTTTGGGTTTCGCTTGTTCAACAATACATTGTAGGGCTGCTCTATATTCTGTTTTGAACGAGAAACTTGATTGAAAGACCATTCCTCGCTGAGTCCTGTTGCGGAAATCCGATTTTCATGTTGTAAATTCGCATTCCCAAACTCTATAGTTATAGTTRGCAAGAACTAACAGAATGAAATAGTTGACTATCGCTACCAATCGCTCAACTAAGGTACCAAAATTTTAGAAGAATAGTTAACCTTTTACTGACCGAAATATAGCGAAAAAATATTGCACCATATCATCATTCGAGTCCTTTGAAACGCTAGTATTCATGCTATAATTGACCACACTTCATGCTTACTCGGCGAAAATAATTTATAAATTCGACATTCAAATTTTCTTTATAGAATTGCTTTCGAAATGGTCACTTTCTATTTTCCGAGTTGTTTTCCTTGCAGAATGAAATGCGATTTCTGGCTTTATGCAAATTCACTAAAATGTAAATACTGTCGCAAACCTATAACCCGACAATTTGATTTCCATGACAAAATTTAAAATGTTTGGGTTAATTCAGTAAGTGAAAGAAAGATTATGGAAAATAGTCTATCTAAAGCAGTGTTTATCCCCTTTTGTCTGAATTCGAATGACTTGATTAAAATCGTTGTAAAATTATTTTTTCAAAACAACCTAACACAAGGAACACTATATTTAGCAAAAATCCAGAATTCACACATTTTTTGAATATTACGGCATTGACCATTTTCACAATTCTAGTGTAAGCGAGGCCATTCACATTTATAGTAAAAAAATTTTTTTTGTGCATTTTTTAAAATCGACAAGTGTTGGTTTTTGGCTCGCAATTTAGCTCGCTCTCCTGACTCGCTTTTCACGAAGGAGACAAAATCCAAGTTCTTAAAAGCAATCAAATTATTCATTTCTTTAAACTGAGGCCGTCGCGCGAGACGTGATGTTGTCATTGTACAGTGTGCATACCCTCTCATTGACTGACTCTTATCAGCCAATCAGCTTGCAAGAAGTTTCGCAGGTGTGGTAAAGAACTCAATTTCTTGGAATAACTGTTAAAAAAAGTGTGTAATCTACAAATGAAATGATTCTACCCTTCAAAGCCAAACAAGGATATTCATAGGAAAAAAATATCTTCATTAGTGATCTTTTTTTAATTCATGTCCTAGATTTTACTTAAGGAATATAAAACGGATTCCGTGTTTGTCAATTGCTTATACTGTAATTAATAGAAGTGTGCAGAGGCGGATCCAGAGAGCCTAGAATGAGCTGACTATTTATGATTCAATATATTGGGTGGAAAATACAAGAAAAAGGTGCATCATTTTGAAAATCTCGGAGTGGCAGCACATCCAAAAAATGGTTTCCTCGTTTTGCATAATAAGATGTATCTTAAGGTAAATTGATCCACAAAAACCAGCTACGCAATCGAAACGTTCTGCGAATACAAGTGCGTATCTCCAAAGACTTTTTAATTTGTTTCAAACTAATAACCGCAAGGGCTCCACCAGCAATGTCAGAATAAACAACAAATAATAAATTGAATAAATAATAATATTCAAATAAAGCGTATTAAAATATGTCAGATCAATAGCAAAAGGGTGATAATACATTTTTCACATTGAAATTAAGACAATACTTGGAGATTAAATCACGTACATTTTCAATAAAAGATCAGTGAAATTTTAAAGGAGTATTGTTTGTGAGGGCAGCCAACAACCTGTCATGCACATCGGKGTGCAATTCTATCCTCTACCTTTAGGATATAAAAGTAATAGTCATCACTTTTTTCTGATTTTTTCCCATAAACCAATTATATCGGGAGCCCATCATTGGGAGCGTCTGTGTCCTTATTACAGGAGTGTTGTCAGAAAGAATAGAAGAAAATTTGATTTCATTTTCGTTCGCAATATTTCTTAATTATTCTATTTATTATTTATTTTGTTTAGTCCTGCAAATTTCACTGAGCTTGTAACACCTATGTCTATGAAAACACGGTGACTAAATGCAATACACACGACGGACGCTCCTAGTAAGGAGCTTATAAGAACTGTGGCAGACTTGAAGGAGATTTAAGCTATTTCGGTTATTTTGTTCTTTTGTTCTAAAACACTAACCTTCCGCCGACTTTTATTATGCAGCTACCAAAGGATTGTATTTACAGTGTGAGAGTATTTGCGCTAAAATATTATCATGCAAAATCCATGCAAACACCGTGATCCCTAAAAACAACTTTACTGATGACTTAATTTCTATTTCTAAAGTTTTAATAGTATAGTATGCAATATATGCTACTATATAAATATGAAATACGTGAAATATATGCTCCAACATTTGCTTTTTTTCATCAAAGATTTCATTGCACTGCATTAATTAATTTTTGGAATCTGTTTTTATTTTCGTCGTGAATCTATTTCTAATCTGTCTCTAAGTTTGACGATAAGCATGTGACTTGTTTTACGTAGTGTGTTWACCTTCATTCGATACGTCACCTTTACGGCACCAGAAGTTGAAAAGTTTTCATCGTAACAAAATGGACGCCATATTGGATTGSCACACAAGAATAAGGCAGTCGCAGATGTCATAATAGAGCTCTCTCCACTTTCGAAGATAGATTTATTTTTTATGATAATACTTGATTTGGTACTAATACTATAGATACGATTTAATGTTTTTTTGAACGTTTCTTTTTGAGTGTGTTATTTATATTACTAAAAAAATTAAAAAAGGTTGATATATTTATATATTTCCTATTTCAAGAAGTCTTCCAATGAAACAATAAAAAAGGGGTGCGGCTATTTTGTTTTTTACCATTTTTTTTTTTTCACAAGTTCGGACTCGAAGCAAACCTTCACCCTCGTCTAGCATTGAAAACTTTATTTAAGAATAAGTATTCATTAAAACAGATGGATTTTCTTGTGTTAACAGAACCTTGCCTGACTTAAACATGGGAGCATCGCCTGAATTCCCCCAAAAAGAAATTGAGCGACTGACATCGAAGCTAAGAGAACGAGAAGAGGAAATTAGGGAAAAGGACCATGAAATTGAAAGATTGAAGACAAAGCTAAGCAAGAAAGAAAACAAGAATGCATCTGAAAGGTTTAAGAAGAAAATAATCGATTTAGAAAAGGAAATTTTAAGTTTGAAAGAGGAAAACCAATTATTGAGAGAGGAAATTGATAAAATGAATATTGAAAAAAATCAAATGCAAAACGAAATACTCGAAATGAAGGATAACATGAAAAACCAAGATCAGGAAATCAAAGACCTGCGAACAGAGCAATCAAATCAACAGATCGCTACTTTCGACAAAATAAAATCACTCGAAAAGAAAATATCTAATGATGATCTTGTATACATCGGGGAGATAGCCTAYAAGTTCTGCAAGAGCGCCTATATTTTCGTGATGGGCATTTCATCGTATAAGGACTATCATCCTTATAATATGGAGCGTATGGAGCAGTACATAGAAAAAATTGAAGACGACAGTCAAAAAAATCAAACTGTGAGAAAATGGGACGAGCTCAAAAGAAAAGTTGGTTGGTCATGGGAAATGGGTGTGACCCTTTCACAACTGCGAAAGGATCGAAATGATGCAGCCCATCCAAAAAACCTTGATAAAGAAACAGCAAAGAAGGCAATCGATGACTTGAAGAAGAAAAAAAAGCTGAAAGGCGAAACTGCTGAGCCTAAAGTCCATCGTATTGTCGACATATGGTTTGACATGCAGGCAGAGGGAGTATTTGCAAAATGAGCTAAAACAATTGCTAGTGCTAGTGCTAGTATATACAATCTGAAAACACTTTAGAGTAGATACATGGAGCCTTTGGAACAAATGGACGCATGAATTTGGCTATATAGAGAATATCATTCTGACGTGCCTAATCTTCAGCTTTTTCTATAATATTATATTCTCTGTGTGCTGGAGTTCCTCAAGCTCTTTATCGAACTTGAGTGACGTGTTTCCGATGAGTATATAGAATCTTGTCAAGCGGGTTCAAATGTATATATCCCGACAAAACAATAAAATGTGTATTCTCATTCTTTTAACGGCACTTACAAMATTACATTGCTTCACAAGACGGTCAAAATTCACATTTCATTGCATATTCCGTAATCTTATCTTATTTAGAAGTACRTKTGGACTGKTTTTTGGCGATTTTTTCGAATTTTTTGGCTTCGARATCGTCTGAAACTTACAGTTATTWTAGCGAAAATACTTCTGAACAATGGCCGTCATTTTATTTACATGTATATGGCATTGTTTCGCTAGAGAAAGAACAAAACTAAAATGCACAGCGATTCTGCACGAATTACATACAATTCTTTCGTATGCAGATGGATCAATTTTATAGATATTAATTTTACACAAGAATTTTAAAGCAATCAATGTATTTGAAAATGTACAGCTGATTGACAAATGTCTTCACAATTGAATTAATAGTGATAGTGTATCAAAGGCACAAAGCTCTGCATGCTTTGATTAAAATAATTAAATTGTTATTTAATGATAATATTATAGTTGATTTACAGATATGAATTTTAATCAAATTTTACCCATAGTAATGCAATTAGATTTGATTTTATACAGAATTTATAGTTTATTTACAGATTTATTTTCAAAATCCCTTATGGAATACCTTCACATTTATTGAACAATAGATTGCATGGAAATTCGGTCATGATTACAATTATGCTCAATTTGTAAACATTGTACTAATGTACGGTCACTGAAAATAAATATACACTTACATTCACACATGACTATCTAAATTCGCTAATCCTTAGTTTGAGATATTTTTTAAGGGGCAGATTTAGTTGGGGAAGGGGGAGGGGAGGGGGAGGGGGGAGTGAAGTGCCGCAGTACCCTTTGAGTAAAGATTGTGAAAAAATCGTTGTCAAATTCGTCAAAATGCTTTATATCGTATTTCTCAGCATGCCCCGGAACCTCTTCGTTCCGCCAACCTTGGTGGTCGATGGATACTGGGCACGTGCCCTTTTTCCTAAATTGCTGGATATGCCTGTGTTTTCTTTAGTCTAAAATGGCGCTCATACAACAAGTTACGAAGTTACGAATTTTACAACAAAGACACACTTACCTCAATTCGCTCGGCCATTGAGCGATCAAAAAAATATTCTCCATCGTTAGTAGCCCTCAATTCACAGAAGCAAACAAAGCCTTGAAATCCTTTTTAAAAGACCTCAGCAATACAGGAAAAATACGTCCGACTCAACAGAAAACGCCGCTTACAAGAGAGGCAATCGTCAAGTTGTACGATGCCGGCGAGCTAGTTGACAGCCAAACATCCGACCCAGCGAAACTCCAACAAACTGCTTGGTTTTTCATTACTTTATACTTTGGGCGTCGTGGACGAGAAAACCAGAGGCAGCTGGACCAGAGTTCATTCAAACTTTGCTAAATGCCAGATTCTGGGATTGAATACTTTGAGATAAACAAAGCAGCTCTTGGAAGCGTTCTTGCTTCTAAAAACTACCAAGGCGGTTTAGACGGCTCAGAGGACCCTTCCAATGGCAAAATGTTTGCAAATAAAGATTCTCCCCGCTGTCCAGTGGCTGTACTAAGTGCTTTTTGTCCCATTTAAACCCTTCATGCTCGCCCGTCATTGTTCCAGACCTTTGAAAGGCTTGAGTTCAAACTCATTGAAGCCCACAGGGAGCCCAAGCAATAGCTTTGAATCTATAATAGTTAAAAACCCATCCGTGTCGAGGTTATCCTGAGACCCTGAGACACTTGACCGCTAAAAACTGAAAACTTGACAAATTTGGAGACTATACTTCCGATTACTATGTTTGGAAATTTCAGAAGCGAAAACGTTCAAAATTATAACATAGACTTGTTTTTCGAAATCTTAGGGTATGAATTTGTTGATATTTATCGACCGAACACTGCAAAAACCGAGCAGCTTCGGCTACATTCGTACATTTCTTTTCAAGCGCTTAACTATTTTCATAGTTTATAGAACTATTAACTATCATGCTGTTTTTGTAAAAAAAAACTTGATGTTAAATGT